ATGGTATCAAACGATGGAAATTAAAGACATAACAAATTTAATTAGGAGTAAATAAAACAATAGACACTGTGATAGTGTACAATTTAATGCTACCAAAACTGTTCACTTCTTACCATCTCTTGTGTGTGGTCATGTTTGGTGTCCCTGACAGGAGGTCTCCAAATGCAAGTGTCTGGACCTGCATCTGTGAGTCACATGGACACATGGAGGAGAGATTGATGATGAATACAAATAAGGTTAATACCGGAACTGTCCAAACAGGACACTTATGTTATCCTGTTAATTGTTAGTAAGCCATAGTACAGCACTTTAAAACAGCCAGCAAACCCAAAGGGAGTTTTCAGTTACACCACAAATAAAAAGATTAGATTGCATGTTTGGGCAAAAACTGTCTAATATTTAATATCTGCGGAGTGACAGAGTAAACAATTTGCCTGTCAATTAACAAATGTAGCTAGCTACTTTACCGTACAGAGAGGTGCACCGTTGTACTGGGATTACACAGAAATGAAAGTGGCAAACAACAACCTTTTTTTGCGACCTTCACTTTAAGCTCAACTTTCTATATCATTCTAAAACCAACAATCAGTTACATTTGTAGTGCAACAAATTTCGATGACAGTTTCCTGTTAAAGCATCCACGGTATGGGAATAGCACAAACCCTAATAGCATCAGAGTGTTAACAGCAACGCAAGGACAAAGACAAACACTGAGAGATGAGTTGAGTGAAGCTCTCTATGACCTTTGTGTCACAACAGACGCATGGACATCCTAAAGATAGTGCAGTCCTTGAAATGCAAAGGAGAGTCAGGTTACACAGCAGAACAGCGGTAAGGTGTCCAGCCATCATTCCTTCTATCTGACAGACAGAACACAGTGATGATAACACGAGAAGACTGGACAGCTGAGAATGAGGACGTATAAAGAAAGGTTGAGCCTGGAATAGACTGCTCAAGTATTGAGACTAAGTAAGGAGCTTGATGAGAGGGAGTGTGGTCCTCTGTAGCTCAGTTGGTAGAGTATGGCGCTTGCAACGCCAGAATGGGGGATTCGATTCCCGGGAGCACCTGCACGTGAAAATGTATGCACACGTGACTGTGAGTCGCCTTGGATAAAAGCGTCTGTTAAATTGCATACATTTTATATTATAAACCGGGTAGTTTGGGTCCTGGATGCTGATTGGCTGAAAGCTGTGGTATATTAGACATTATAAACTGGGTGGTTACGTTGGTAACCAGTTTATAATAGCAATAAGGCACCTTGTGGTATAAGGACAATATTCCACGGCTAAGGGCTGTATCCAGGCAACGCGCAAGAACAGCCCTTAGCCGTGGTATATTAGCCATATACCACACCCCCCCCGGGCCTTCTTGCTTAAATATACCACGTGTATGAAGCAAAATTACTTGTTTACTGTTCTAATTATCTTGATAACCAGTTTATTATAGCAATAAGACACCTCGGGGGTTTGTGGTATATGGCCTTACTGCTTAATTCGAACATTTGAGGGTTGTGGGTCATGGTAGATTTTAGAGGATTGAAAGGTATTAGCTGATGAGTTTCGGGGGGGGTGTTACATTATCCTCATGTTAAAGAATAACATGCCAGTTAAAGCCTTGGCTTACAATACTTTTGAAATCCATCTTTGAGAGAGAGAACATAATTTGTTTTTAACCATCTACTGATATTGTTTTAGGGTAATAGGTCACACTGTTTTGTCATGATCAGCATGTGTTCCCTCCTGTAGTGACAATAATTAATTTCCCGACAGCTGGGAATTGGGACACCTAACAGTGTCATTGAGGAGTAGCATGTGGGAGTAAGGAGCCTCAAGGCTGAATGCCCAAGGTGTGAAGTTGTAGAGGTCAAAGGTGCTCCTCTATGTGCCCTGAAGAGGTCTAAGGAGGGAAACTCTCTCTGGTGATACAGTATTATCACCTCGTAGACAGCTTGCAGACAGCTTCACACTAACGCACTGACAGCCATCTTGACCTTTAACAGCGTGTTACTACAAATCTAAGACCTTATTGTGCCCCTTGTGTCAACGCCTTACATAGTACCCTACACAGACCATTTCTAAACTGATTAGCCAGCACCTTACACAGGTTGTTTAAAACGTTTTACATATTGAGTCCCCCTCTGTTAAAAATAGCATGATTTTCTTGAAAGTGACATGTAGAGGTAACTGCCAAAATAAAGGAAACACTTGAGTAAATGAGGGATACAAAGTATATTGAAAGCAGGTGCTTCCACACAGGTGTGGTTCCTGAGTTAATTAAGCAATTAAAACCCTGTCATGCTTAGGGTCATGTATAAAAATGCCCAGTTGCCCATTATTTTGACTACCATGGCTAGAAGAAGACATGTCAGTGACCTTGAAAGAGGTTCCTCAAAACAGCATCGGGTGTTTAAAGGGTGTGTGTCCCCAGATCTCAATCCAATTGAACTCTTCTGGGAGATTCTGTAGCGGCGCCTGAGACAGCGTTTTTCACCACCATCAACAAAACACCAAATGATGTCATTTCTCATGGAAGAATGGTTTCGCATCCCTCCAATAGTGTTCCAGAGACTTGTAGAGTCTATGTTCTGGCGTCTCGTGGTGGCCAAACGCCCTTTATCCTTTATTTTGGAGCATACCTGTATTGCTCCGTTTGTGTCTTAAATTAATGTAATTATGGGCTCTTCATGAACTGTAGACCCAAAGAACAATTTCACAGAGTTATTTTTGTCATCAAGGACAAAGGGAAGGAAACTATGTCACGTCAACAAGATGAGGTCTAGTTTAATACTTAAAGTAGCTGTTACTCTTTAGTGACAATGGATAGAAGAGTGACCTTGTCTTGGGGAACAAAAGACAGCTGCACTTGTCATAAGTACCCTATCATGCAATGAGTTTACGCACTGCAACAACACTTTCTCATGTCAGCTCATTAACCCAAAGCAACGGGGTAGGAGTAGCAGGACTAAACCCCCCCCCCAAGTGTTCACAATTAGCAAAGTAAAACGGGGTATTTCAGAGTATTTCTTAACAAAAACTGACATACATTACTTATGGTTTCAACGTTTCAAACTGTTTTTGGAACTAACTTACTTTGTGTCATTGCACGTAAAAATATATAATTGGATGAATTCCCATTGGTCAAACGTACATGCTTGTCTTTTCTGGATGATCACAGTGCCTGAGACTGCCCTATGATCAAGTGGGCTTTCAATGCAGCCAATTTCTCCCCTCCTCTGTCCACCCGGGAATAGCCTATTGTTACAACGAGCCTGATAGGTCAAAAGAGGTATACACCTCTAGCCCCAAATACAGATCTTTTGAAATAATCAGTCTAATTCATGTCATTGCCCATCTCCATATAGGGCTGATCAAACCTCTTTATAAAGAGTGATGGAGACCAGGGGAGACAGACCAGGGAAGACAGACCAGGGAAGACAGACCAGGGGAGACAGACCAGGGAAGACAGACCAGGGAAGACAGACCAGGGAAGACACAAGGCACCGGACATCCTGAAGGTAAGCATATAGAGGCAGTCCGCTGAGGAGGGCAAAGATAATCATCATAGGACCTAACATTAGTCATTACCCACATAAAACTGCTCAGTTGATTGATATTGGTCTTTGTATTTGTCTATTTAATTCTCAGTAGAGATCCTTTCCAACGTATCCAAGGGGTGACCAACAACAGGTAAGCCTCATAGTCTTCTAAAATAGAGGTTCTACAACACGCCTCCTAGTGGTTTGCGTGAAGTCTTTAAATGTGTTTAACGAAAACTGTTAACAGCTTGCCAAATTCGTATACTAATAACATTTTTTATTTAGGTCTGTACTCATTAATCTAGTCAACTTTTATATGTTGCGTAATATGTCTTTCCCGTATAGTAATTACATGTTGTCAGTGTCATCGATAACACAAGCTGTAGATTTTAGCTACAGTGGACCTAGCTACTTTTGGTCTGCTGTGAACCTCACATGTTTTGGTTTATTTTCAATGTGCTATTGGTTTTGCTGGCCTTCATATTGTTCAGATAAAGTCTCATCAATCTAGGATTCTAAATCTGGTACCCTAGTGGTGTTCTGCCTCAACAGGTTTTCTTTAAGCTATTATTCAAAAGTTATTTTGGTCTGCCATGACCAGTATGCCATGCTGCAGAATACTACTCATATAAACAGTATATACATACAGTGATACTAATATCCAATGTTTCAATTGATTTAGGTCTTTGGGGTTAACATTTTTGGGACCAATTTAAATAACAATAATTTAAGTATTAAGGCTAATTGACATTACAACACTGGTCGAGAACAGGGAACTACAGCCCCGGAGCCCTAAAGGGGTTGATTTATTTAATATTATTTTATATTAGCGCTTTACACTGATATTAGATTATTACAACAATATCCATGGTTTCCTTTGTCATTAACAGAATAAAATGTAAAACTATAAAAATATGTTTGATATTGTAATAAATACTGTAAAGTAAAATGGTTGTGGTTTCTTAAAGATGCACTAAGCAGAAATCGCTCCGCTTTTCCATAACCCCAAAATATTGTTTTTTTCAGCTTTTAGAAGCTGTTGTACAAAACTGAAAGTAAAAGACGCAAAAACAAAACTTAAGAACGGGGAAGCGTAGAAATAGCAGAACAGAGAACAGATCTACAGCTTCTTAGCCTTGCGTTCAATCATCATGACAGATCTATAACACATATTTCTATGTTAAGGTGGTTGGGTCGCCCAAAAAGTTACATATGGCAGCTTTAAGTTTAATAACAGTTTGTTATGAGAATCCTAGCATACAACAAACCTTGTCAACAGTGAGAAGACAGCCACATGTAACTCTGAAGTTTAGCTAATTTAACCTAATAATACATACACAAATACATACATATCCACAATCACAAACACATAATATTATTCCAACTCAAAGCTGGTACTGTGTGTAATATATACTGTATGTATGTATTCAATGCTCTTTTCCTGCCTGCACAGATTTAAGAAATGGGGGACGCGTTAATGGCAGAGTTTGGCGGCGCAGCTTCCTATCTGCGTAAGTCAGACAAGGAGCGTATGGAATGCCAGACTAGACCCTTTGACATAAAGAGGGAGTGCTATGTGCCTGACCCTGAGGTTGAGTACGTCAAGGCCACAATCACCAGCAGAGACGGGGCTAAAGTCACCGTTGATACTGAGTTTGGAAAGGTAAATATTTTGGTGAAAAGCATTTCTGAAAATATATGACCTGGAAAATCACAAGATAATACATTTTCTACTAGGATAACTCTATGATTGATGAACAGCTAAGCTATAAACTGAATTGAGTTATGTGCTTTACTGTTTACTATAAAAATTATTCTCACAAGAGATAACAAAGAGAAAAATCCTAACTTGAGATCTTTAACTTTCATGCAAAGATGCAAGATAGGATTTCTCTCTAAGTAAATACCTCTACACCTTGAAAATGAAACAAAATAACTTAATTTGATATTTTTTCAGACTGTTACTGTGAAGGAGGACGACGTCCACCCCCAGAACCCGCCAAAGTTCGATAAAATTGAGGACATGGCGATGTTCACCTTCCTGCACGAGCCTGCTGTGCTGTTTAACCTCAAAGAGCGTTACGCAGCCTGGATGATCTACGTAAGTCATGCCTGCTAATATCTCCATTAAATCAAACATTCATTCAAATGAATCAAACTAAATCTGCATCCCCCTCGTCTTCCACAGACCTACTCAGGGCTGTTCTGTGTCACGGTCAACCCCTACAAGTGGCTGCCAGTGTACGATCAGTCTGTTGTCAATGCATACAGAGGCAAGAAGAGGACAGAAGCTCCTCCTCACATCTTCTCCATCTCTGACAATGCCTACCAGTACATGTTGTCAGGTAAAATATCACTTTTCCTTTTAATCTACATTGGCATATCAAATGTTGTTTGGATAATGACACATTTACTGATACTTATCTTTCAACAGACAGGGAAAATCAGTCTGTTCTTATCACGTAAGTACATCAACCAAAGGTTATATTGATTTGAGGATATTTAAAATTAAGATACATTTTTGAGACATCAACATTTGTATTTCCAATCCCAGTGGAGAATCCGGTGCTGGAAAGACTGTGAACACCAAGAGAGTCATCCAGTACTTCGCCAGTATTGCTGCTGTTGGCGGAAAGAAAAGTGCAGCAGAAGAAAAAAAGGTAAATAGAATTGCAAATGTTCCTCATTATCGATCCTAAATTAAACATACTTCATGGCTGGATGAGCATTTGTTGACAAAATCAAATTGTATTTATAGAGTATTGGTGTTCATTGCTGCATTTTGACACTGTATGGATGTTGGTTTCTAGGGGACCCTGGAGGATCAAATCATCCAGGCCAATCCTGCCCTGGAGGCTTTTGGTAATGCCAAAACCATCAGGAATGACAACTCCTCCCGATTCGTAAGTTTGGTCTTTGTTCGCAGTCAAATACCATTCAAATCTTATCATAAATGTTCATCTTATTTGTTACCTTCTCGATTTGAATTTCATTAGGATAAGAATTTTATTAAGATCCCCATTAGTGGATGTCATGACGTCAGCTAATCTTCCTCAGGTCCATCAGCAAATCTTCCCTTTTGGGACTGTATGTGTGCAACAGACCTGGGTTTAAATAGTATTTGTTTTATTTCAAATACTTTCAGTGTTTGGTTGAGCCTACAAGATAGGTGGGATTTAAACTTCCATTAGACCGTTCAAGCACACCTAAGGTATTCAAAAAGAAAACAAATACTACTTGAACCCAGATCTGGTGTGCTCATTCATTTCTGCTTTGACAATAACTTACAGGGTAAATTCATCCGAATTCATTTTGGAGTCAGTGGGAAGCTTTCGTCTGCTGACATTGAGACTTGTGAGTACAATACAACATTTTCTCAGGCTTGAACAGATCTCTTTGACAGGAAACACATTAATACCAAAAGCACTTTTCCATACTGATCAGATCTTCTGGAGAAGTCACGTGTAACTTTCCAGCTCAAGGCTGAGAGAGACTATCACATATTCTACCAGATCCTATCCCAAAAGAAACCAGAACTGCTGGGTGAGTATTACATCATCAAACTGTGTACTGAGCGGGGTTGAGGTCTAATTCTGAATTCAACTGAGAATTTCGGATGAATTCCAATTCAATTCTTATGGTGCAGCCAGCGCAGGAAGTGTGCTACCCCCCCATTCCCCACCGTAAAACTCACAACACAATGTATCGTGATTTATGCTGTAACATTTCCTTTGTCCATGAGAAAGTTGCAATGATTTAAATACCATTTCAGCACACAACATAAACATTTGATGCACGAAAAACTATCTCCAGCTGCAGTTTTTCTAAACTTGATTAGGACTAATTTGTCATCCTGTCTATTATGTATAATATTACTGTTGTTTTGTTATTTTTGTACAATGCCAATTTTCCTAATAGGATATTATGTTATGGCTTATACCAAAGCCTGAACACAAATTAAACTGTGCTGTTCAATTCATTTCAGAGATGCTACTCATCACCAGCAATCCCTATGACTACGCCTTCATCTCCCAAGGAGAGATTGCTGTAACTTCCATTAATGATTCAGATGAGCTAATGGCTACTGATGTGAGTAAAATATGTTCATATACACTGAGTGTCAAATCATTAGGAACACCTTCCTGATATTGAGTTGTATCCCCTTTTGCCTTCAGAACAGCCTCAATTCGTTAAAGGATGGACTCGACAAGGTGTCTTTAAGCATTCCACAGGGATGCTGGCTCATGTTGAATCCAATGCTTCTGACAGTTGTGTCAATTTGGCTGGATGTCCTTTTGGTGGTGGACTATTCTTGATACACACTGAAAACAGCTGAGCGTGAAAAACCCAGCAGCAATTGAAGTTCTTGACACACTCAAATCGGTGTGCCTGGCACCTACTACCATACCCCGTTCAAAGGCACTTAAATAATTTGTCTTGCCCATTCACCCTCATACACGATCCATGTCTCAATTGTATCAAGGCTTAAAAATCCTTCTTTAACCGGTCTCTTCCCCTTCATCGACACTGCTTGAAGGTGACATTAATAAGGGATGATAGCTTTCACTGAACTCATCTGGTCAGTCTATTTCATAGAAAGAGCAGGTATTCCTAATGTTTTGTACACTCAGTGTATATGCGATAATATTCCACTTGTATCCGATTCTTTCTCCAATTCAAAACAATGACCTTTATTTCGGAACTAGGATGCATTTGATGTGCTGGGCTTCTCCCAAGAGGAGAAGAATGGCATTTATAAGCTGACTGGTGCCATCATGCACTATGGCAACATGAAGTTCAAGAACAAGCAGAGGGAGGAGCAAGCAGAGGCAGACGGCACTGAGGGTGAGCACTTAGCATTTAAAACCTCTCACTTTAAAATACAGTAATCTCTGAAAAATCTGACGGTCACAATGCCTCCTCCAACCATAAAACTTTGCCTTTCCAGATATTGACAAAGCCGCATATCTGATGTGCCTGAACTCTGCTGACCTGGTCAAGGGGCTGTGTCACCCAAGGGTCAAAGTAGGAAATGAGTGGGTCACCAAAGGTCAGAGTGTCGACCAGGTGAGTCTCAAAAAAGTTGGACATTTCCAGGAGATAATAATTTTGAGCATAAAACTTCTATTTAGAGTTGCTAATATTTTCATGCCTGTGATTCCCCATTGAGCATGCTTTTTAGTCCAGGAAAATGCCTGATCTGTGTCTGGGAAACTGTCCCTATGTTGAGTCTATGTTTTGGTAAATTATTTTCTCAATATTTTGTAGGTGTACTACTCCATTGGTGCACTGGCAAAGAAAATTTACGAGAACATGTTCCTCTGGATGGTGATAAGAATCAACCTTACTCTGGACACAAAGAACGCTCGCCAGCACTACATTGGTGTGCTGGACATTGCTGGCTTTGAGATCTTTGATGTGAGTGTTTGATGTAAATTTGATCAATAGGACACGTCATGAAACGATTAATCTAAAACATTACAGCTGACAAAATAATGTAACTGTGAACTTCTTTTTCAGTTCAACACCTTTGAGCAGCTGTGCATCAACTTCACTAATGAGAAGCTGCAGCAGTTCTTCAACCACCACATGTTTGTGCTGGAGCAGGAGGAGTACAAGAAAGAGGGTATCGTCTGGGAGTTCATTGACTTCGGCATGGACTTGGCTGCCTGCATTGACCTCATTGAAAGGGTTGGTGTCTTCAGTTTCACAGTAGTTTAATTTATATGATTGAATCTTTGAGATTTCAAACATTACAAGGGCAATCTTCCTAAATGTGCTTCAACAACAAATTATTTTATTTATGCTTTTCCCTTAGTATTAATTTATTTTCATTCATTTTCCCTTTTAGCCCATGGGTATCATGTCCATCCTTGAAGAGGAGTGCATGTTCCCCAAGGCCAGTGATTCTACATTCAAAGCTAAGCTGTATGACACCCATCTGGGCAAAAATGCATGCTTCCAGAAGCCTAGGATTATTAAGGGTAGACCAGAGGCCCATTTCTCCCTGGTTCACTATGCTGGCACTGTTGATTACAACATTGGTAACTGGCTGGTGAAGAACAAGGACCCGCTGAATGAGACTGTGGTCGGACTGTTCCAGAAGTCAAGTCTTAAGTTCCTGGCCAACCTGTTTGTAAGCTATGCTGGTGCAGAAGGAGGTACTATGTGTTTTTATCTGCAAAGACTAAAAAAAACACTAAAATAAATACAAATGTACATGACAGTAGTAATAATAGTATATTTGAATTATTTCATTATCATACAGCTGCTGAAGAAAAAGCAGCTGGAGGAAAGAAGAAGAAAGGTTCTTCCTTCCAGACGGTGTCTGCTTTGCACAGGGTAAATCTGACTTCAAATCAATATACTTCTGATGTTTTCAAATGGCAGAAAATAACAAATGTATTATATTTGCGCAACATTTGAAATGCCATTATGTTGTGGATTGGCATGTTAGCATTAAATGCCGTTGTGACTCGTGAGGTACTGGGAGAGTCATTCATTGATGGAAAATTCTACATTTGTCATACTCACAGGAGAACTTGGGTAAACTCATGACCAACTTGAGGTCTACTCACCCCCACTTTGTGCGTTGCCTCATCCCCAACGAGACCAAGACTCCTGGGGCCATGGAAAACCCTCTGGTCATGCACCAGCTGCGCTGTAACGGTGTACTGGAAGGCATCAGGATCTGCAGGAAGGGCTTCCCCAACAGGATCCTGTATGCTGACTTCAAACAAAGGTACAAATTATTATGCATTTCCTTTCCAAAATAAATTCAATAAATTCAGGTGTTCCATTATTGAAGATAATTGCTTTCTGATTTAAATTCAGATACCGCATCCTCAATCCAAATGCTATCCCTGAGGGTCAGTTCATTGACAACATGAAGGCAGCCGAAAAACTGCTGGGCTCTCTGGACATTGACCACACCCAGTACAGATTAGGACACACTAAGGTAAGTTCTCTAAATAGATGAAAAGCAATAAGACTTGTTGGACCAGCAGCAATTACGGGGTCCAAGCAGTACATTACTACTACACTACCATCAGGTTAACCTGAGCAATGCCTCTTGAAATAACTGCTGATATACCACTGAGCATGATTACTACATATCATCTGTCTCTAGGGGAAATGGATCAAGTCAAGAGATACAAATATATACTTGGTGTAGCGTCACCATGAAGTAGATCCAGATCTGGATCTACATGTAAGATATTAAAAGCATTGTGCACATACTGTTTGAGATAGACCTTGCCAAATGTTTTAACTCTTGGTCAACATGCTGGGTCTGAAGTTGTCAAATCAATTTCTCATTCCAGGGCCACCTTGTGGTCAATTTGTGCCTTTTTCGCACAGAGGCAAGAAATCAACAATCTAAACATGACTATAAACATGGGGGATAAGATAACACATTCAAGTTATTTATAGTCAACTGGCAGAAAAATACAATCCTACCGAAGATGATCCAACCACCACATTATGGCCTTTGTGAATCATTAGGTGTTCTTCAAGGCTGGTCTCCTGGGTACCCTTGAGGAGATGAGAGACGATCGTCTCGCTCTTATCATCACTGGCATGCAGGCCCGATCACGTGGTCTACTTGCCAGAATTGAGTTCCAGAAAATTGTTGACCGCAGGTTGGAATAGGACTAGATCAAACTTTTGCAGACAATATGGTGGAGGTGGAAAAGGTATAACAAGATAATTGTATTCAATGTCACAGGGATGCCTTGCTTGTGATCCAATGGAACATTCGTGCCTTCATGGGTGTCAAGAATTGGCCCTGGATGAAGATGTTCTTCAAGATCAAACCTCTGCTGAAGTCAGCAGAGACTGAGAAGGAGATGGCCAACATGAAGGAAGAATTCCTGAAGCTTAAAGAGGTTTATGCTAAAACTGAAGCCCGTAGAAAGGAGCTAGAAGAGAAGATGGTCTCCCTTATCCAAGAGAAGAATGACTTGCAGCTCGCTGTCCAAACTGTGAGTAACTTTAACTACACTAAAGTTACTTTAATGTACTCACATCCTTTGTCAAAATGTCCTTTCTGGTTAGCTTTTTACTAATTAGAGAAATAGAAAAACAGAAAAAGAAGAGATATGATTAGCTAAATAGGTATGTACAATCAGTGGAGCATTTGTAGTGTCCAAATATTTTGCCACCAAACAAACTTCTGAGCTTTGGAGAATTGTATATACTTATAATAAATTGACACATTGACAGTCAGAAGACACTATTGGTGATGCTGAAGAGAGATGCGAGGGTCTGATCAAGAGCAAAATCCAGCTTGAGGCCAAAGCCAAAGAGCTGACAGAAAGACTGGAGGATGAGGAGGAGATGAATTCAGAGCTGACTGCTAAGAAGAGGAAGCTGGAAGATGAGTGCTCAGAACTCAAGAAGGACATTGACGATCTGGAGCTCACTCTGGCTAAAGTGGAGAAGGAGAAGCATGCCACGGAGAACAAGGTAAAGTTTTTCTTCATTCTTGTATTGTTAAAACTCCAATTGATTGGTTTGGATGAAAGCGTAATGACATTGTTCTGTTTCCTGTAGGTTAAAAACCTGACTGAGGAGATGGCGGCTCTGGACGAAATCATTGCCAAGCTGACCAAGGAGAAGAAGGCTCTGCAGGAGGCTCATCAGCAAACGCTGGATGACCTTCAGAGTGAGGAGGATAAAGTCAACACGCTGACCAAGGCCAAAGCCAAACTGGAACAGCAAGTTGATGATGTGAGTACCAAACAGGAAATCATAAAAATTACAACAAACAAATTACAACAAACAACAAATTAATATATCCTTTATCAGCTTGAAGGGTCTCTGGAGCAAGAGAAGAAGGTGAGGATGGACCTTGAGAGAGCCAAGAGAAAGCTGGAAGGAGACTTGAAGTTGACCCAGGAGAGCCTAATGGACCTGGAGAACGACAAGCAGCAGCTGGAGGAGAGAATGAAGAAGTAAGATCACAACCCACAAAATCTCATGAATATTATTCAGTAGAAAACGCTTGCTAAAAATGTATGTTCTTCTCAATAGGAAGGACTTTGAGATGAGCCAACTCAACAGCAAGATTGAGGATGAGCAGGCCTTGGGTGCCCAGCTTCAGAAAAAACTCAAGGAACTGCAGGTATTTCAATAGCATTGTTGAAAAGGGAATATTTCTGTTACACTTGGAGAGGTGTAAAGTAATGAATTACTACTCTCGTTAATGTAATTGAGTAGCTTTCAAAGTCAGTAATTTTATTCTAGTTGAGTAAATGTTGTGTAACAGTACTTCAACTTGAGTAGGATATTTCAGTAATCCTTACACCCCTGACTTTAATTGCTTTGAATGTTTCATTTATTTTCAAATGTTAATAGTATATATTTGACAAATCCTTAGTACTTTTACATACAGATTTGCCTTGTCGCAACTCATTAAAATAAATTAACTTAGATCCTACTGTACATTCATTTCCTCTAGTACTTTTTCAATTTAATACATGGAAAACATTCAGATAACCTTAGCAAAATTAGCTAATTATCAAGCTCAATGTTTCTATATTAAAAGTAACTCAATTACTTTTACACAGAGTACTTTTTAAATTATCTACTGTTTACTTTGACTTAGTAGTTTTATTTTTACACCAGTAAGTTTACTTCTACTTGATATTTCAGTACTCTTTCCACCATTGTACACTTGTTCTGTTCTTACCAGAAAATCTGAATTCCCTCCATTTCAGGCCCGCATTGAAGAGCTGGAGGAAGAGCTGGAGGCTGAGAGAGCTGCCCGTGCCAAGGTGGAGAAACAGAGGGCAGACTTGGCCAGAGAGCTGGAGGAGATCAGTGAGCGGCTGGAGGAGGCTGGTGGAGCCACTGCTGCCCAGATTGAGATGAACAAGAAGAGGGAGGCTGAGTTCCAGAAGGTGCGCAGAGATCTTGAAGAGGCTACTCTGCAGCACGAGGCTACAGCTGCCTCTCTGAGGAAGAAAAATGCTGACAGTGTGGCTGACCTGGGAGAGCAGATTGACAACCTTCAGAGAGTGAAGCAGAAGCTGGAGAAGGAGAAGAGTGAGCTCAGGCTGGAGCTGGATGATGTGGTCTCCAACATGGAGCAGATTGTCAAGTCCAAAGTATGTGGTGTCATTGAGCAATCATAACATGTGTTATCTGTACATGATTTTTAAAGATGGAATCTAGTGATGGTGTTCCGTCATTCAAAAAACAAATCTGTTTTTAGACAAACTTGGAGAAAATGTGCCGCACTCTAGAGGACCAGATGAGTGAATACAGGACGAAAGCTGAGGAAGGACAGCGATCCATCAATGATTTCACCATGCAGAAAGCAAAGCTTCAAACTGAGAATGGTATATTAACTAAAAACCTGGACATTCACATGAACAGCCACAATGAATAACCACAATAAATAATATAATTTAAATTAATTTGAATTGTATTAAAACAGGTGAACTTGCCAGACAGCTGGAGGAGAAGGACTCTCTGGTCTCCCAACTGACCAGAGGTAAGCAGTCCAACGTTCAGCAGATTGAAGACCTCAAGAGACAACTGGAGGAGGAAGTCAAGGTATTTATACAAAAAAATGCACTGTGTCCATAATCAACTTTATTTATCCTCTGGCATAATTACAGATAATCTTTTTAATGTCCTTACCAGGCAAAGAACGCACTTGCCCATGCGGTGCAGTCTGCTCGCCATGACTCAGACCTGCTCCGGGAGCAGTATGAGGAGGAGCAGGAGGCCAAGGCTGAGCTGCAGCGTGGCATGTCCAAGGCCAACGCGGAGGTCGCTCAGTGGAGAACCAAGTATGAAACTGATGCCATCCAGAAGACTGAGGAGCTTGAAGACGCAAAGTAATTTGGTCGCAGGTTCAGGAATGGCTGAAAAATTGCAACATTTGTCTGGAGTAACCTAGCACTGCTGGGTGATCTGAAAAGTCATAGTCAATCGATCAATAATATAATAATACTCTTAGCAAAAATGTTCATCTTTAATCTACAATCTGTAGAAACTATGAGAATAGAAAGGTTCAGAACTTTTGTGAAACCACAGCACAGTTGAAAAGTATATGGCAAATAGAAATCAAAACTGGATGGTGTTCAGAGATAGATGGGAGGGGTTGAGGGTAGCTGAAGGCTGGGACTAAAAACAAAGCAAAAGATAACTAATGTAAAATACACTGTGTCCGTAAAATGTAAATAGTATGAAAAAAAAAGCTGGAAGTAGAAGTAGAAGCCCATAAGTGTACTCCAATTAGGGAAGGGGTGGTAGGGTTAGGAGCAATATACTAAATATATTAAATATAAATATATATTTATAATATATATATATATATATATCTTTATAAAAAATATATGGGGGATTCAACCTTGGCTGAATTAGTGACACACAAAAGTACATGATGAATGATACATGGATTACCTGATTTACAGTTCATTCGGAAAGTATTCAGACCCCTTGACTTTTTCCACATTTTGTTACGTTACAGCCTTATTCTAAAATGGATTAAATTTGGGTTTTTTCTCCTCATCAATCTACACACAATACCCCATAATTCCAAAGCAAAAACTGGATTTTTAAATGCACTGTACAATCATTAAATATCAGACAGAAAAAAGGCAGCTGTTCTTAAATGTGTTTCTCATCTATGTCAATCTAGGAAGAAGCTTGCTCAGCGTCTGCAGGATGCAGAGGAAGCTGTGGAAGCTGTTAACGCTAAATGCTCCTCCCTGGAAAAGACTAAACACCGACTCCAGAATGAGATTGAAGATCTCATGGTGGATGTGGAGAGATCCAATGCATCTGCTGCCGCTCTGGACAAAAAGCAAAGGAACTTCGACAAGGTAAGAAAATAAATGGTATACACAAGTCCTATTAGCCTTTATTATAGTACATGATAGGGGCATCAGGTAGCCTAGTGGTTAGAGAAGCGGGCCAGCAACCTCAGACGGGAAAACCTTGTGTAGAGTGAGCCGGCAACCGGAGGGTTGCTGAAATCCTCCTACCAGCACCTGCAGTTGTGCCCTTGAGCAAGGGAGCTGCACAGCGGCTGACACTTTGCTTTCAGCCCGTATGTCTCGGGGGCTTGGGTTGTGAGCATCCTTCTTCTGTAAGCTAATGGACAATAAAGTACATCTTATCCTAATCATATACTGTATTGAAACCACTTACGTTTCCAGGTCCTGGCTGAGTGGAAGCAGAAGTTTGAAGAGGCTCAGACCGAGCTGGAGAGCTCCCAGAAAGAGGCCAGATCTCTCAGCACTGAACTCTTCAAACTCAAAAACTCTTACGAGGAATCTCTGGATCATCTGGAGACCATGAAGAGGGAGAACAAGAACCTCCAAGGTCAGAGCATATGCATTATTGGACTATAGAACTTAGTCCAGGGGTTCCCTATGGCACGCCGGCATTGGAGGCGCCCACGTTTCGTGGGGGAACACGGGACCGTCCTTGAGTTGAGGGGCACAATTCACGATTGTTATACTGATCTAAAATGACGCATACATCCGCGATGCTTTATGCTAAAAAAAACAAGCAATAAACTGCCAAAATGAAGACGTAACTGATGCACATGGGAATATATTTGGTTTGGCTCTATGACATTCAGAAGCTGAGTTTAGGCCTTCTAAAGTCGAGGGGTCAAAGAAATTGGACTTTGCTTGGGAAGTCATCTTATACAATGTGTGACTGTAGCTATCAATTGATCTGTTCACTTTCTGTTAAAGGGAAAATGTATAATTAAAATGAGTTCACGTAAATGATCATAATACAACATATTTGGTAGCAGAATAACATTGGGGAAATGTATTTTCCTTATCCATTCTTCTTCTTCTTCTTCTTGATATCACTAAATAGCATGACTTAGTCAATTAAAGATTGATATGTTATAGAAAAAGGTGGGGGGGTGGAAATACAATAAAAATAGAGATAAATAAATATTCTGATGTACAATAAAATAATTCCACAGAGGAAATTTCTGACCTGACTGAGCAACTTGGTGAAGGAGGAAAGAGCATCCATGAGCTGGAGAAGATCCGTAAACAGCTGGAGCAGGAGAAGGCTGAGATACAGTCTGCTCTAGAGGAAGCTGAGGTGAGAATAGAAAAAATTTACTGATACTGAAAGTACCAGAATTTAATTAGAAGATTTTACAAAGTATGGGTGGCTTTGTTTTCATAGGGCTCCCTAGAACATGAAGAGGGTAAGATCCTGAGAGCACAGCTGGAGTTCAACCAGGTCAAAGCTGATATTGAACGGAAACTGGTGGAGAAGGATGAGGAGATGGAGATGAATAAGAGGAACCAGCAGAGAGTGGTGGATACCCTGCAAAGCTCCCTGGAGTCAGAGACTCGTAGCAGGAACGAAGCTCTCAGGCTGAAGAAGAAGATGGAGGGAGATCTCAATGAGATGGAGATCCAGCTCAGCCAGGCCAACAGGCAGGCAGCAGAGGCCCAGAAGCAACTTAAGGGTCTCCATTCCCATCTGAAGGTAATACTTCCACACCATTGAATTAAAAACATTGCTTGTGCCATCACAAAAAGCCAAACCACACTGTAAAACAATGAAAGAAATATAGTAAAATCAATTCTCTCTACAGGATTCTCAACTGCAGCTGGATGATGCTCTTCGTGGCAGTGATGACCTGAAGGAGAACATTGCCATTGTGGAGAGACGCAACAACCTGATGCAGGCTGAACTGGATGAGCTGAGAGCCATGGTGGAGCAGACTGAGAGAGGCCGCAAACTGGCTGAGCAGGAACTGCTGGATGTTAGTGAAAGAGTTCAGCTGCTGCACTCACAGGTAAGACGGTAATAGATAACAATTAGTGTTCTACTTTAATGTCTGCTACTTGAGATTTGTTGAGGTTATATTAAAAGCAATTTGTCATATACATGTGTAGAACACCAGCCTACTGAGCCAGAAGAAGAAGCTGGAGGGTGACACATCCCAGCTTCAGAATGAAGTGGAGGAGGCTGTGCAGGAGTGCAGAAACGCTGAGGAAAAGGCCAAGAAGGCCATTACTGATGCTGCCATGATGGCAGAGGAGCTGAAGAAGGAGCAGGACACCAGTGCTCACCTGGAGCGCATGAAGAAGAACATGGAGCAGACCATCAAGGACCTGCAGCACCGCCTGGATGAAGCTGAACAAATCGCCATGAAAGGTGGCAAGAAGCAGATCCAGAAGCTGGAGTCCAGAGTAAGGCCCAGCTACATTATCTTCTATTCATTCTAAATCATTTTTCATATTTCTAGTCATATTTCTAGCTTTAATATTAAAAGCAGTGGTAACTAACAACGTAATTGGAAATAATGTGTTAACATCCATCATGTCTTTCTAGGTGAGGGAGCTAGAGAGTGAAGTGGAAATGGAGCAAAGGAGGAGCGGTGATTCTGTGAAAGGAGTCCGTAAATATGAGCGACGCATCAAGGAGCTCACCTACCAGGTACATCATATATTTTAATTTAACAGTGCACTATTAACGTGCTAAGAATCAAATGTAAGATGCACAAATGACAATTTTTTCCTTTCTTTTTGGGTACAGACTGAGGAAGACCGTAAGAATTTGTCCCGTCTTCAGGACCTGGTGGACAAACTGCAGCTGAAGGTCAAATCCTACAAGAGAACTTCAGAGGAGGCTGTAAGTAGAAAACATTCCATCATCCAACTGATGCATCTGTAATTCTCAAATTGTTGTGTTTGCTAAAAACTGAAATCATACTTAAAACATTTCACAGGAGGAACAAGCCAATTCTAATTTGGGCAAGTTACGCAAGATTCAGCATGAACTGGATGAAGCAGAGGAGAGGGCTGATATTGCTGAGTCTCAGGTCAACAAGATGAGAGCCAAGAGTCGTGATTCCGGCTCCAAGGTCAGTAAAGTTACTTTTTCAAGAGTCCAAAAGGATAATTTGCAGACTTCCCATGTACTGTAGTGTTCCCATGTAGATGGCAAAAAACTCAACTTGGAATAGCTTAAAGGCATATTACATGAAATAGCATAATATTATAATTATAATATTAATAATAATAATTAATTAATAATATTCATATTATCGTTATCTCTATTCCTTTTGTTGTTGTTGAGGAGTTCCCCTTTAATTTCATTTAACCCTAGAATTGTTTTAGATTACTCCTTGAATTTGTGCCGCAAACAGGTTTTAACAATTTTCTGCAATACATCCTGTAGTTGAAGAGCTAAAAATTAGGGCCCTATAAAAACCAGGAAGCGGAGAGCGCGGACGGAATCACGGAATCCAGACATTAAAACAGAATTCAACAATGCATTGAACTTAGTAGGAAATAAACTAAATGTATTTTCCCAAGATGATCATAATACATTAACAAAATGCATCAGTGATTCGTATTTCCTTAATCTTTCTGAAGAGGTAACGCAGGAATGCCCCTGTCTTTGTGTGCGCGTTTGTCTACCACGTTGTGTAGCCGTTAGCGATGATGCTAATGATGATAACCGTCTTCCGGTAGATGGAAAGACTTTCACAAAAACCTTCTAAATTAAATGTTAACTACAAAGTATGCCTACCTGGTATCATGATATCATGATTATTTGCATCAATCTAGTGGCGATTTGTTTAGCAAACTCTGCAATTATATGTGTGCTACAGAAACACCGCTAACCAGTCTCTTGCTGGTGCCCAGTTGAACACGCAAAAATTGAAATGTATTACATTTTTCCCAGACCTCAAAAGTGGTCTCCTGATGTGGTTAAAGCATTGTTGTGGACTTAAAACATCCAATTTAGATGTTTCTCTATAACAAATGTGTAATTTTGAGAGCAAAAACCTGAAAGAACAGGGGGAAAAACAGAAACCTGGAAAGACAAAATGGAAAAAACAGAATTTGTGAAAAAACAGAATTAGGCAAAAAATATAACAGATTGTATAATTTTTTGTGTCCATTGAATTCTTTAAATTGGACATTATTGCTCCAATAAATGTTTTGTAAACTCTTGAGTGTATTACACAGTAACGTGAATCAGGTACTTGTTTAATATCTGTATAGGGACAGCATGATGTTCATAGTGTATTCCAGACCAGCAGGGGTTGCGTTAATGCAGAATTCTGCAATTTTCCACACAGAAAAATAGGCTAAAACGCATAACAAATATCTTGGCTGCATTTTGTAAACGCAGATCTATAATGCTTCTTTATTGTCATTTCTGCTCGGCTTCTGACTAATGTTGTGCTTCAGTTGCACTTCTCCACTCAGATGAGAAATCTTTGCTCTTGTCATCAGACCAATCAATTTCCTGTATTCACTTCCAGGGCATTTTATCAGCAGACAGCACTCTGACTGATGTGTAGCTGCTTTGCTCCGATACTTTTCTCTGTGTACTTTACTCTCATAAAATGTAAGATTAACTTCAAGCAAAACATTAGGAAATATAGTTGGCTACATTCTTTCTATGATAAACATGAGAAATATGATGGCCATGCATAGTTTTAGCAAAAAAATACCTTGCTTTTTCAGTGAAAGCTAATGTACTTGTTTAGCTGCTGCCCAAAATAGCATTGCACTTCTGTTGTCATCTGATGAAAATGAAGCTATTTTCTGTTGAATGTGTAGCACTAATGTATTTTGTGTGAAGGAAAACTATAGTTGCATGCCCCTGATCATTCTACTGAAGAAGAAAAAAAACCTGTGCACTTCCAATATAAAATGCAAAACTAAATGGTTTAAAAAATATTTTTTGATGGTCTGTGTTTTGAAAATGCAGATTTCTAAAAGCTTACACAAACCCTTCACCATAATATACATACTGTACATACCTGTTTAAGTTTCCCACCATATCATTTTAAGGACACAGTAAATGGCAGTATAACATGTTTTCCAGTACACAGTAAACATTTTCTCATGATGAATCCATCTTCTCTGTCACAGAAAGGAAAGGATGAGGAGTGAGGTCAAGAGTCGTGATGCCCGCTCCCAGGTCAGTTCTTCTAATCAAATTCATTATATTGGTTATAATTTGCAAATTCCCTCATGTCAACTATGTCAACAGCTTCTACCTCAATAGCTTTGTAAGTATTTGATGTCAAACAGCTATACTATCATTCATATTATATATTTTTATATTCACTGAGTGTACAAAACATTAGGAACACCTGCACTTTCCATGACATAGACTAACCAGGTGAAAGCATGATCCCTTATCCATGTCACTTATTAAATCCACTTCATTCAGTGTAGATGAAGGGGAGGAGACAGGTTAAAGAAGGTTTTTTAAGCCTTGAGACAATTGAGACATGGATTGTGTATGTGTGCCATTCAGAGGGTGAATGGACAAGACAAAAGATTGAAGTGCCTTTGAACGGGGTATGGTAGTAGGTGCCAGGCGCACCAGTTTGAGTTTGTCAAGAACTGCAACACTGCTGGGTTTTTCACGCTCAACAGTTTCCTGTGTGTATCAAGAATGGTCCCACCACCCAAAGGACATCCAGCCAACTTGTCACAACTGTGGGAAGCATTGGAGTCAACATGGTTCAGCATCCTTGTGGAATGCTTTCGACACCTTGTAGAGTCCGTGCCCCTCCTATTGATCATGTTCTGAAAGCAAAAGGGGGTGCAACTCAATATTAGGAAGTGTTCCTAATGTTTTATACCCTAAAGTACAAGACAGAATCAACTATGAATTGGATTATTGTTCACTTGTAACTATTTTTTAAACATTATTTCAAAAGCATAATGGTTATTTCTTGTAAGATTTGGTTGTAAGATTTAAACATAATGACTCCTTTAAATGAAGAACAGTATTTTAATAATAACGTTTTCAGAAGTTAATGTTCTCAACCTTTATCTATCTTCTTTGTCACAGAAAGGACATGATGAAGAGTGAAGCTCTCGGATGGACCTTTCTGAACATCTCCTGACTGTAGTGATTTAGTTTTCTATATTCTCCATGTAACATGAGCAGAATAAAGAATGAAGTCAAGTTAAAATAGCCCCTCTGTGTTTTGCTTGTAACATGTTACCTGTATGCCAAAGTTTTTCCATGTCTGGTATAGACATCTATCTGGGTTGGTGTTGATTCCATTACGAACATAAATTCCATTACGAACAGGACATTTTGATAATATAGTTCCGATATGTTCCATAATCTAATTTGGTTATTTACCTCAAATTGACTTCTAATCACATGGCCCAGTGGCATGCTGGACAGAAACTGACTTACCCACTAGCACTTGCATTATATCAAAATTGTTTATCTATTGACATACCTACTGAAAGGGATCTTTCATAATTTCAGTGCTGTGATTATTAGCTTTCCTTAAGGGCATAATTGGCAGTTAAGAATATAATCACTTTATTTTCCCTGAAGGAACTTCAGTTGTTGCACGTCGGATAAGATCTAAAAATACAGTAAACATCTAACAGACGTCGGTAACAGCCATACATATGCCGGTACAAAACTGTTAGTGGCTCTCTTGGTTTTGAGAGGCAAAGACCTGAGTTTGCGCACTTATGGCAGTACTGCATTTACATTTTAGTCATTTAGCAGACGCTCTTATCCAGAGCGACTTACATGAGCAATTAGGGTTAAGTGCCTTGCTCAAGGGCACATCAACAGATTTTTCACCTAGTCGGCTCGGGGATTAGAACCAGCGACTTTTCGGTTACTGGCACAACGCTCTTAACCACTAAGCTACCTGCATATTGATTATTCAGTGGATGTTGTTCGATCCAAAGCAGTTTCCACTCTTTGTATATGTCTTGGAGAGCCTTTACCCCCTACAATCTAGAAGAAGGATTACTTTTATACTATTCCAGTTATTCCTTAAAAAGGTAGGGTTTCAAGTGTCTCCGGAAGGTGGTCAGTGACTCCGCTGTCCTGGCGTCGTGGGGGAGCTTGTTCCACTATTGGGGTGCCAGAGCAGCGAATAGCTTTGACTGGGCTGAGCGGGAACTGTGCTTCCGTAGAGGTAGGGGGGCTAGCAGGCCAGAGGTGGATGAACGTAGTGCCCTCGTTTGGGTGTAGGGTCTGATCAGAGCCTGAAGGTAAGGAGGTGCCTTACCTTCAGTCCAATTTGTAAGTCGCTCTGGATAAGAGCGTCTGCTAAATGATGTAAATGTAAATGTGCCGTTCCTCTCACAGCTCAGTAGGCAAGCACCTTGGTCTTGTAGTAGATGCGAGCCTCAACTGGAAGCCAGTGGAGTGTGCGGAGGAGCGGGGTGACATGAGAGAACTTGGGAAGATTGAACACCAGACGGTCTGCAGCGTTCTGCATAAGTTGCAGGGGTTTAATGGCACAGGCAGGGAGCCCAGCCAACAGCGAGTTGCAGTAATCCAGACGGGAGATGACAAGTGCCTGGATTAGGACCTGTGCCGCTTTCTGTGTAAGGTAGGGTCGTACTCTACGAATGTTGTAGAGCATGAACCTGCAGGATCGGGTCACGCTTTGATGTTAGCGGAGAACGACAGGGTGTTGTCCAGGGTCACGCCAAGGTTCTTTGCACTCTGGGAGGACACAATGGAGTTGTCAACCGTGATGGCGAGTTCATGGAGCGGGCAGTCCTTCCCCGGGAGGAAGAGCAGCTCCATCTTCCATTCAGCTTGAGGTGGTGATCCGACATCCACACTAATATGTCTGCCAGACATGCAGAGATGCAATTTGCCACCTGGTTATCAGAAGGGGTAAAGGAGAAAATTAATTGTGTGTCGTCTGCGTGGCAATGATAGGAGAGACCATGTGAGGATATGACAGAGCCAAGTGACTTGGTATATAGAGAGAATAGGAGAGGGCCTAGAACTGAGCCCTGGGGGACACCAGTGGTGAGAGCACGTGGTGCGGAGACAGATTCTTGCCACGCCACCTGGTAGGAGCGACCTGTCAGATAGGACGCAATCCAAGAGTGAGCAGCGCCGGAGATGCCCAACTCGGAGAGGGTGGAGAGAAGGATCTGATGGTTCACAGTATCAAAGGCAGCAGATAGGTCTGGAAGGAGAAGAGCAGAG